CTGCTAATTTTCTTTATTTGTAATGTGCAATAGGAAATTACCCAATGTTCTTCATCCTGCTCCTCCACCCCGCAGTAAAAGCAAAGCCTGCTTAGATCATCTGTTGAGACAAAACGTAATCAATATCTTCAGATAAACCACATTGCAGATTTGGGGTCAAGGTGACCCATTCCAATTTTTGACTAAAAGGTCAATTATATAAGGACACATTTGTTGTGGTCTTTTATTATTTTGTGTGAAGAAAAGGCAAAACACACACAAACACATAGATTTTCTAAATGATTAAATCTGAGCACAGAGGAGCCATCTGCTCCTTCTTTCACTCTCTCCTTACCCTCTGTAGAATGGGAACCTGCACAATGTCATTACAAAACATCCAAAAACTTCTTTCGCACTGTACGCATCAATTTAAGTTTGGTTCTCATGGTTCTTTTGTTGTTCATCACATGTATTAGCTTTACAGCTTTGATTATAATAAGTTCAAGGTAAAAATTAACTGAGGATATCAGTTAAAAGTAATACACACCAATGAGCACATTGAAAGGAGGAAGATGGGGAAATCTCACATCTTAAATAAACCGCAGAATTGAAAGGGTGTGTTAGAGTGTGATGTGTGTAGCCTATATGAAATTGCAGTTGAAGATGCCTGCCTGCGATGCTTCATATGTTATCTGTTTGGAGTTGAGATACACAATATACTGTATGTAGTGACTATTTACCCTAATCTATACTTAAGCTACTGTGTTGCTTTTAAAACCCTGATAATGTCCCTGGTCAATATTAACCCAACAGTACCAATGGTCCAAGCAGTGATACAATACAACAATTTGCATGGCACATTATTAATATACTAGGTTATTGATGCATACTTATGAGATACAATTAATAAAAGTAACTACATGAAGTCATTGACAATGTTGAGAAAAGGTAACAAACCAGATTCTCTGAGGAGAGAAGTAGCAATGTCCAGCCTCAGCTCGTGCACTGCCTTCTGTGAGGTTTCAAACTCAATTGCCTCCCCCAGTAAAATGTTCTCTGCAAACTGAAGAGAACCTTGATTAGTATATGGACTGCATGGTCTATGATTTTACCCTCAAATGGAATACAGACAAATGACCCAACAGATTTAAAGAATGACATGTTGTATATGTGTAGTTTGACACAATTCAATACATCTTTGATCAAGATGTATAAAAGCAAGTCAAGATATTCAGTCTAATTGCTACTGAATTTGAGTTTGAGAGTAATGTTTGGCTAAATGCATTTCACACTCACTTTTAAGGCCAGGACACCACAGGATGTGCTGTCTTGTTGGCGATTATGGGGGAGGGTGCTGCATGTCCATCTTGACACCTTGCAGCCTTTCATCCTCATAAAGGCTCTACAGTATGTAGATAGTACATGTGTCAAGATGCAGCACATCATTGTCAAAATACTCATAAAACACCGGAACTAGTACACTGTATCAAATGTACCTTGTAGACTGCAGGCACACCTTCGTTTTGCCTTTCCCTTCTCCAAGTGGATCCAAGAAGAGGGTTTTCTTCTCATGGGGGTACATTACCTTTTATTATTCACATGGAAACACAACATGCATTAGGCAGGAACCATACATTACGCAGGTACGATGTAGGGTATTGTTTAGATGTTATCAATAATAAGTGACAGCATGTATGTGTGGCCCGGTTATCTTGCAAATTACTAATTATATATGGTGTATACAGCACTATAGATACAGATTGGAGCTTAAAATATGCTCCTATTCTCACCACCAACATCCAGTGATGGTTCTCGTTCACAATTCCCACGATGACTGTGTGTGCCATTGGATCAACCTGAGAGTAGTTGCAAAAGTATTACATTCCTGTTGAAAAATGCACATTTGCAACATTTACAAAAGCAAAGTCATTCCAATCATGTACATACCCGGATTCTTCCAAATTTGTGTTTCCAGATGGCGGTCATAGCGTAGCTGTCAATAACAGCTGCTTGACCGTCATTGCGCTGGTTGAATTTTCAGGGTATGGTTCTAGGACTGGTACCAATAAATGGAGCAAGTTTCATGAATGTGACACTTTTATTTTGTAAGATAGCAAGGGGGGGGCATATTGTGATGGCCAGGCCTGTCATATAATGCCCCCCCCACCAAAAGAGGTTTCTATGAATCCCACCCTCAAGCATTTTTCAGGGTATGGTTCTAGGACTGGTACCAATAAATGGAGCAAGTTTCATGAATGTCACACTTTTATTTTGTACGCATAGCATATATGCTGACAAAGACTATGTAACATTTGTAAACATATTTAGATTATTAGATGACAACTATGTAAAATTAAACAATACATTTTAAAGCACGTTTATACAGACAGGACGTAACAATAATGATAAAAAAAAACATTTAAAAAAACAAACTGAAAAGGAAGTGACGAACGAATTTCGACACCTCAAATACGGAGCGAAAAGTTAAACCAGAAGAATCAAGACTATGAGCTACCACTAAACAACTCACAGTCTGAAAATTACCATTAATAAAAACCCTGAACGTTTACTTTTCGTTTTAAACATCGTTTTAAGGTGTAAACCTATGGTGTTAACGTGTCATTTAGAGGTGAAACGTGTCATTTAGAAATGCGCGTTCCCGTGACAAGGGGGGCATTTCATGACGGGGAGGCATAATGTGACACAACACCGGAACAACGGAACAATGCATAGGAGTTTCATCTTTTATTCAGCAAGGCACTTACGAAGAATTCATCTGACATGTTCTGAGACGCTTTAAGCTGCAAGTTAAATATCACGTTCACCTCACAATGAGATAATGTGTTGTTACCTAAAGTTTCCTCCTGAGTTATATTTTGAAGAATAAGTGTATAAATATGAGAGTAGCCTGTATGAAATAAGTGCGCAGCAACAGATGAGAAGCTGCTACACCTAGTGGATTTAAGGCAGAAGGGCGAGAACCTTTAGAAACAAGGCTTATGCACGGACATGCTTATTATATCCAAGTTAATGAAGAAACTGTCAAATGTCTCAATCAGAACGGATCAGTGACACTCAAGTGGTTGTGAAAAGCTATGCAAAAAGCAGATTTAAAGGAAAGAAATGTCCATGACCTGGAGATTATAAAGCAATTATTAAGGAAGAAATGGAGGTCAAACTTACTTGTTCTATGGTTTAAAAAATATATATTCTACAGTTCAGCCAAAGTCAGTCATTTTTGTACAAAACATAATCTTACATTTATTAAAGCAGAAAACACTGTGCATGAGAACAACATGAGAAATTCAGACTAAAAGGACTTTACATTGGGTAGATACACACTTGATTTGATTAAGTTTCACATATTGCTATAAGCCGAACTTCAGAAAGCATTTTAGCACGGAACGAGGAGCATGATTTTGTCCTCTATATCCTACGCTGGAATCAAGTTAGGCAGGAGTCTCGTCAGGGTCAGTATGCAGAAGACGAAGTATTGCAATGACCAAAAACGGTTTTAATTCTCATATAAGCGTGTGAGTATTATATGAAGTCTCTTCCTCTAATAATGTTGCATTATCTATTCTCAACGGAGGTCAGTCAGTATAATGAATAACTCCTAAGGATATTGCCATAAACTTATTTCCATTCTTCATCAATTGGATTTCCTCTACTTTCTATCATATAAGTCCCAGGGTTTCACATTGCAAACATCTGAAACAGCAGGCTGGGGTTATGGGGCAATCAAATCCATTAAAGATCTCACTAACAGCTTAATGCTGACTTTCAATTCAGAATGGGGGGAGCAAATGGACTGTGAAATATGTGCTAATGGTAATAAGCGTTCGCTTACAAAGTGAGAGAAAAAGAGACGGATAAAGCCCTGTGCTGTTATCACTGAGTCGACACATATCCTTTCAAAGAGCCATAAACATGGACAAGGACAATTAAACCAGGGACTGCAAAGGGACAGCTTGGCGTAATACTGTGTTACAAAGTCCACTGTTCATTTAAAGTATGGTTTAAAAATACAGCTCACATATAACAAAAACACGTAGGCTCCAGGGTGTCCAAGCGCAAACTGAAAACACATGTTTGCAATTAAGACCATGTGAGACGTGCTATTTTGCAGAAAACATAATTTTTTGCAGACGTAATTTCACATCTTTAGAGGACTTTTGGCTGGATACATATTCATTAGAGTGCAACACCTCCCCATTAGGGCCACCCAGATGAAGATCCGTCTACACAAAACATACAGTGGATCCTTTTCACTTTTTCAGTATACCGTGCTTTCATCATCAGGTTTTGGCTTGTCACGTATACTTCAATGGTACCTTGAATGATGTAAACAGAAACTCAACATAGCTTGAACAAGTGTAAAAAGGAAAGCAAAGCACTTTACTCAAACAGCCAGTCAACTGTAGAGCTCAAAACACACACAAATATTTTTGTCATTAGACAAGTGCATCCAAGGCTTGAGCAAAAGAGGAGATCAACAAGAGAACACAACAGGGTCAATTGTTTAATGTAATGTCAAACACATCAAATATATATTGTTTTAGCATTTAGATATGCATCATGATATAAACGACTCTAAGGGCTATCATAAATAAATATCTGTCATTGAAAAATGCTTTAGCATGTGTAAGAGTGCACTTCACAAAGCCAAAATTCGCCAAGTAAAGCCTCTTTTTATTCTAATAGAAGTATAAAATACAATATCCCTGAATATTCAAGGCCAATAAAGAAAATATGTATTTTCCTTTAAGCTGGAAATGCAAGAAGAATAGGGAAAACAAATTGAGATAGCTACTATAAATTCAATCTGGTATTTCGTCAATAATGAGACACTCTTATCTTTGTAAGAGGGCATTTACAAGACCAGATAGTCATAAAGCTTCAGCTCCACTTCAGGTCCTTAATCAGGGCTTTTATAAAGGTGCATGAGTTCAGCAGACACTCTTTTCCTATTGTTATCCCCACACATGTACATCACCTAGTGTGTATAATGCTGCTTCCTCTCAGGAGCGGTGGTACAGGCTGTGGCCAAGCTGCGAGGCGTACAGATGTGCAGCAGGGAGAATGGGGCCACGGCCGTATGAGCAGGCCAGTCCGTAGAGAGCTGCTGGTCCAGCCTGCAGGTGAACACTGAGGGGAAAACCTAAGGACGAGAAGCCTGGGGGGAATAAGGCTTTGGGCCCAATGCCAGCCGCTATTTTGAGTTTCTCCACGTCGGCCTCCTGAAGCCTTTTAGCTTTAGCTCGTCGGTTTTGGAACCAGATCTTGACCTGGGTCTCGGACAGTGAGAGCGAGGAGGAGAACTCGGCCCGTTCTGCGATGGAGAGGTACTGCTTCTGACGAAACCTTCTCTCCAGGGCCAGGAGCTGCGCAGTGGTGAAGGGAGTGCGAGGCTTGCGGTTGGTTTTGTGCTTCCTCAAGGAGCAAACTGCTGGACTGAGCTGCCCTACAGGACATGGGGAAGATGTGAGGCTGACATTTTGCAGAGCACCTTTCCAATAGTTAAATATCCAAAGTACTAAATAAGGGCTGACATTATTATTTGTATACATGTATTTAACAGGAAATGATTCGACAACCATGTTGATGCATCTGAATTATCAAGAGAATTGCAAAACATGGCCTTTTTTATTTAATGTCACTTTAAAATAGTCTAAAAATCATTAATTAATTTTGTAATCCCCATGAGCAGCTTTTAACATACAAACCACAAATGAGAGGAAACATATTTAAACATTTATGAGTTAACCTATTATTGTTTACGGTTCTGCCTTTCATATGTGATTTTCCTTGTGAAAAAACCTCTGAACCTTTTAATTGTTTTCTTATATTTATTACAACTATGCCTATCTCACCTTAAATCTATCACTTATGAACTTTGATTATCTAAAACATAACAGAAGATTGAATCCTACCTTGGATGATTTAAGGCACTAAATATATATTAACGATTATAGAAGGCATTATAACCAGTAAACGCCTATTAATACATCTTCCCAGACCTCACCCTGCATCACTTACGCTGTGGTGTTGACATCTTAATGGGGCTGGGTATCCAGGACACACAGTCCCCTCTTCCCGATGGTTCTGATTTCATAGATAGGCCCACTAAATGTTGAGGAAACTCCTCCGGCCTGTGCGAGTGATTTTGAGCTTTCCTGTCGGTCGCATGCAGTGTCGTGTCGGACATGAGCGCGTCCACGCTGAAGGGCAGGCGCAACACCTGCTCCGTGCGCTTATTCTTCTCCTCGTCTGTAGCGTACCGGTCCCTCCGGTCTCCAGGGGAAGGCATGCTTTTCTTTTCAGGGCCGGGGTCGATAAATAATTCCAATCCAGCCAACACATAACTTTCTGTCACGTAGTGCAAACATGCGGGCTCCACACGAAGACAAAAAAACAGTTAAGGAGTAAATTGACAAAGTTGTGCCGGGAAAAAAAACTTTGGGAGGTTCTCTGGAATTTCAGTCATGTTCAGGATTTGGGGAAGGCTTTTGATTGGACGGGATCACTGCGGGGCCACACCCCCAACTACACAGCAGGTTAGCTGCACATCAGTAATTATGCAGAGAGATGATTGTCTTAATCATAATTACCGACAGTAAGAGACTGTATTCAATTCACTCTGCACACTGAATATGCTTAGCTCACTTCGAAAGTACACAGGAAATGAGTCCTGATGGATGTCCTGAATTTCATATGCAAGGGACATTTGGATGAGATGGAGGCCTTGAATTTTGTTATAGAAAACGTACTAATATAAGTAAATCAATCCAATGTCCTCTCTATCCAGCTGGTGATGGCCTTCTGTCTCTCGTTGCGTCAGTGTGACATCTGAAGAGCTACATTTCCACTTAACAAAAGCTGACAGAGCTCAGTCAAGCCCGAACTCGTAGGACCTGACAAAACAATTGCGATGGTAATCAATAAGAATCATGGAGCTTTAAAAAGTCAAATCTCACTGAAGAGAAAACACACACTTAAATGTGAGAGCCAGTTTGGAGATGGATTATGGTTTTGGGCAGGCTTTAAAATGACTGTCATTACATTGTTGTTATTAACACCTTGTAATTAGGTCTGTGGAATCCGGTTCTTTTAAGCAGGATTTAACGGTAATGATGGAAAATTGCTACCTTCCTGAGGTGTGTGGCGCCCGCTGCGATTAGTCCCAGTCTCTGCTCTGTTGGAGGAAACAGAGGCGTCTCATGCCCGTTTGAAGCTCGTACCTGTAGGGCTCCGGAGTATTAGGAAACATCATGAGAAGTGCAGCCTCTCCTCTAACCACTGAGATTCTGAGATTCAGTGTTCATTCAGCCAGGGAAAGACTTGCACAGCTGCTGATGCAAAATGAATGTGCTTTTTGCATGTCCTCTGCTCCGAGTTTCTATTTTTACTTCCATGTCTGTCTCCTTGTCTACCATGCAGGTCTATCCTAGAAGCCCACACATGTAAAGGCCACCTGTGCAGTGACTGCAGTGTGCTGTCCAGAGCTCTGTGATCTGTGTGCTGTCTGTAATCTGTAATCAGCAGGATTACAGCGGCATCAGGGGCTCGGCTCCCCAGAGCCTCAACATTAGTCTCCATATGAAGCAAAGTGCACACATAGCATGAGCTCCCTCCACTGTAAACACATGCAAATCAATTAGGGGCTTACCTGTCCTTTAAGTGTGCTTCCTATAAGAAAACCTTTCCATTTGATAATCGTCTTATAAATCAGTGTTTAACAACACAGCTTTGACTCCTTATTCTGAAATACTGCACCATGCATTTGACAAATATATTGTAGGATATATTCGACCCCAGTTTCATAGAGTAAATTAAGAGATAGGACATTACTGAAATTGCTAGTCCAACACATTTTTGCAGCTAAACAGAAGTAGACTTTTCTATAATTTGAGGGTGATTGAGCAGAGCATAAAATGCCCCCTTTAATCTTTCACCAGTGTAATCTGACTTTGCAGTCTTTTTTCGTGGGCAATCTGATCATCCAATCAAAGGTAAGAGAGTCTCTGTATGTGGCCGAGCAGCATCAGACCAGAGAGCGAACGTCCTCTGCTCACATTGATCGTCCCTAACACCAATTACTACTGCTCTCTCTTCTGCCTCGCTGCACCTGCATTACACAGAAGCACATGGCTCAAAAGTGTACAGTTTGCAACCGGAAACTTTATTTTGTATCAACACAAGTGCATTTTACGAGGAACTACAGACACATAAGATTCTAAATCAGGAGAAAAGTTCATTTAGATAATTATAAATGGTGATTCCTGAATACAAACAATTAGCGTCATATATTGAAATAATAGTCCACACAATTTTAGTGAGGATTGGGTCTATTTTTGCCACAGCGTTGTTTCGAGGACATGCTTCATGTCCAGAGAGCGCCACACACACAGCATGCAGCCCACACACTTTCTTATTGCAGCCATCATGGGCCAATCAAGACTGACACCATACTTCATCTGGAGACAGTGAAAATAAACAACCCATAGAAAAATGTCGTTTTAAGTATAGGTGAGTAAGGATTACAGCTATAAGTAAAATGAGCTTTTAAGATGTCTTCTTAAATCTAGAGAGGTCATTCGGGGTGCACTTTGGCCAGATGAGGCCTGTGTTATAAAGCGGACTCCCACCACTCCCAGAACTGTTTACTTACTGAAGCACGGTGGTTACAGTGTACTTTCTTAAAACTGCACTGTTGTTCTACATACAGAACAGTTCCTCGCCGCTTTGCAAAGCATTTCAACAGTGAAAAGCACAGAGAACAGTTGTGGCGCCTCACGCTGATTTGAATTGATGTATAAATCACAAAAGATAGACAAGGATCTACGATGGGAACTAAACATTGCAATATATAAACATTGCAATATAAAGGGAAATGGCAAATAAACAGAGCTGCCCAAAGTATACACAAGTGATATATTAAATAATATGTAATTTCCAGTTTTAAGTATCACATGGCTGCTGAACTCATAATCAATGCAGAATACATAGGTCGTACATGTATTGTAATGCAACTTGGACCAACAGCTTCAATCTAAGGGTAGTTACCTCCTGAAGGTGGTCGGCTGTGTTTTCTCATTATTGCCTCTTCAGGCCCCAGTCAGTGCAATCATTACTTCATGGTTTGTTGATGGATCTCACAGCTCTTCATTGTGTTTCCACATTGCTGTTGTTGTCTGGAGCAAGTCAGATTATAATCATAGAAGACCCAAATCTAATTAAACTAATCTTTTGACTGTAGAAAGCACTTTAGCTATGGTGAACCCCCATCTCACTGCAACAAATGACAGATATGCAAATGTGATATTTTCACGAGTCTGAGAGCATGTGAAAACTATGACATACATTAACTGTAAAAAGTAAACCACAAATTAATATTCACTGATATGATCTCACAAATGTATAATTCAGAACTTCTTCCTGAAAATGAGCTGCGGCTTCAGTAAATCACACCTACGCATCTTCACAGAAACCATTTTGGAAATGACAGAAGTATACGAAAACAACCACAATGAGTAGGTGTGCTGCTATGCGGTTATTAAGTCTCGGCGCTGCATATTGCATAAGTAATGATGAAGTAAAAGCATGTCATTGAACTCTTTCTCTTCCATATGCAAATATATTTAGCAATAAGTTCTGATGGTTTCTGTGCTGTATTGCTGGAATGCAAACCAACTGTACATTAATGAACATTATTAGCCATACAAGGAATAAGTGTGCAAAACATGGAGACAGAAAGTTTGTCTAGAGAATCAGTACAATGCTAACTTCAGGGTTCAAACACTTTTTCACCAATGATTTTCAATGACTTCTCCATGACCTTTACCTAATTTTCCATGACCAAAAAAATTACTCTTTCTCAGCGGTGCCACTGAAAATGGTTTATTTGAACATGGAACAGGAAAATAAGGTCTGTTATGAAACATGTCGTGCCTATCTAAAACAAATCAAATAGTAGGCTTACTAGCTTCTACACGCTAAAGCAACTCAAATCTCTCACCAGCAAAATACCTCGTCAGTTAAATGCCATTTTATGTTTCATTACTATACCATACAGTATGTATTATCATTATAGTATTACTATTTCGGCGATTAGATAAAATATAAATTATATTTTATGCAACTTTAGTTAAATTTCCATGTCCTTTCCAAAACTTTGGGGAAAATATTGTTTTCCATAACTTTTCCAGGGCCTGGAATTAGCAATTTGAATTTCCATGACTTTTCCAGGTTTTTAATGACCGTAAGAACCCTGTAACTTGAGTGCTAGATGAAAACAATCATTCATTCTTATTAATCGTATTTGATATTTATCGAAAACATTATTTTTTCAGAATGCAGGGTTTCCCACACATAGACTATACTTGGGCGGGCCGCCCAGGTATATTAACGGCCGCCCAAGTATATTTCGCGACCCATTTTTTTTTTTTTTTTTATTATTTTTTTTTATTTTTTTTATTTTTTATTCGTCCGTGACCACGACGCCATCTGCGATCGATTAACTTGTGGACAATGATCCCTCGCTCCCTTGCTCTGATCTCGCCTCGTTAAGTGGCCTGCCTCACACAGGGTGACTGGCTGTCTACATGATGTGGCCTGCCAACATGGCCACTGTCATAGAGATCATAAATCAAAGCCCTTGATTGGTCTCTGTGTGTCATTCAAGCTCGGGATAACCTCAGCTCAGGTGAGGTAAAGGACTCTCTGAGTGTTTAGATAGTTAACTTAGTTTAAGTTCTCAGTGGGTCTCAAACGGTGTGGTCACCATTTATGTAAACACATATTTCCATTTGAGAGGGTAGTGATTGATCTAATGGATAGTGAGGTGGGCTGAAGATCGGAAGGCTGTGAGTTCAAATCCGGCCAGGAACACCACCACTAGTGTGCCCTTGAGTGCCATCTTTACGCAAAATGATTATACAAAATGAAAACTTTTTTTTTTGCGGGTTTTAGAAATAAGCCGGCCTATAAGTGGACAACTTTTAGTTAAACCAACTTCACACAAGTGTTCAGTCAAGTGCGCTTTAGCCCAGAAAAAACTTCACAGTCTCTTATACCCAACTAGTCATTTGCAGATAATTACAGTCTCAGACCAAGACAATATGTAAGAAGCCCAGACCCAGAGGAGAGAATACCAGATCAAGGTGGACCAGCCATGGAGCAGCAGATCCTTAAGAGGGACTCTGAGTCCTGGATCTCAACAAGGAAAAGGATGGTCTCTCTCTCAAACTCAAAGAGCCCAGGAACCTGCTGCAGAGAGACCAAGGTGATCACCAAATAAACACAACCACCAAAACA